TTGCCACCACAAGAAGATGGCAGCACTCAGCTACCATTCGCGCCCTCCAGTCTCCCCATATGTACAGTTTCTCCACACACACACGTAATATTCTGTGTTACCATTGTTTTTGTTTGTTTTTTGCCACGCTAGTACGGCAAATGGGAGACTTTTTTCAAGATTGTTCATTATAAACAAAAACGTCATAGATTCTATGTATAAATTATGTTATGTATTTTTATCATACAAGCGTGTTTGCGTGCTAATAAAGCAAGCGCTTATCAAGGTGTGCTGTGTCGCGAACTACGCAACATGTTCGATTTGTGCACACGGTGCGGACTGTATAGTTTTAAAATAAATGTGGTAGTATATTACGTTTTGTATTGTTTCGTTCTTGTGTGTTTTGATTTGTCTTCTTAAAGGCAATTTTCGAATACGATGGTTCATTTTGGTGTCTCAACCCTCTTTTTTTGTATCTTATATGCGACCGCCTTCGCGGCGTCGGGAACGATAACAACGTTGTGGGGTTGTAGATTTCTATTAAGCGGGTAAAGTTTGTGTGTGTTTGTCGCAATGTGTAGATAAGTTCAACGCCTATTATACTCACGCCTGAGATTTGTGTTTTTTTTTTTATAATTGTGGAATTGCTTTTGTGTTTCAGTTTATTTGCTTTAAATTGTTTTATTTATTTTTGTTACAAGGTTTGTTTGGCTAAAAGAACTACTTTTTGAACGTGTTTTTTAAGGTATGCACACTGTAGTTGGTCGACTTTCTTTGTGGGCGTTTTTCTTCATCAGAAGTATGCAATATTTTTTTGTGCTGATATGGCGATAACTTTTGTGTAAGAAAACTAATTGTAATAGGAGATCTTTTGTATCATTTTTTTGTAATTTTGTCGATGAAGTTTTTACGTGTCTTTTAGAATATCATGCTTTAAGTGTCTTTTTTTAGCGCAAGTTCGACGTTTTATTAAAATTATATTTCTCGCGGCTGCCTAGCCATGGCTGCCTAGAATTCAAGGCATTGATGACCTAAAATCTTTGCATGGAAAATACACAAAGAAATAAAATTATTATTATTATTATTATTATTATTATTATTATCATGATCATCATCATCATCATCATCATTATTATTATTATTATTATTATTATTATTAATAATATCCCCCATACTGGTTCGTTTTTCATCGTCTCCACTAAAAGAACGCTGGATGATGAGTCGTGGCCGCTTGAGTTCTATTCCTTCCGGAGACTCACAGCCTCGAATCTATTTCAATGACAATCTTACCGACTACAACAAAAAACTCTTCTGGATGGCGAGAACCAGAGGAAAGGAAAAGGGCTTTAAGTTTGTGTGGGTTCGACATGGACACATTTTTGCCAAAAAATGCGAAGGATCAACTTTGCTTTGCATTATGAATGTTGTTGATTTGGAGCAAATAGTGTACACCCTAATGGCACATTTTTTTCAGTTTAAGTGTAGTGTAGACCTTAATGGCTCAATTTTCTCAGTTTAAGGACCTCAAGTCTTGCTCTGAACACTTTAATGTGAACCCAGGGACATTTTTTACGTTATTCCTTGTCAACATAAGGAGCTTGCGCAAGCACTGGGATGAGTTTAGATTAACCGTAGATAGCGTGCTTCCGATAGCTGATGTGCTCATTCTCACAGAGATTAATATCCATAGTGACGACATTGGACAGTTTTTGTTACCCGGATTCAACAATTTCTTTTATACTCGCGACAAAAAGCGCGGTGGTGGTATTGCTGTTTTTCTCAAATCCACATTGTTATATTCGGAAATTTCTGTATCATTCCTATCGCGTGAGTCACTGGCGTTACGTGTCTTTACTTCTACATATGAACTCTACCTACTGGCAATTTATAGACGCCCTTCGGATAGCATTCCTGACTTTCTCTCCGAACTTCGCTGCTGTATTCAGTCGTTGCCACTCACTGCACCTCTTTGTCTTACAGGAGACATTAAAAATGACCTCTTAAAGCCTTCCAAAGCTATAGTTTGTGAATACCTCACTCTATTGGCCGACTGCGGAATAAAACCATCTATTCAAGACCCGAGAAGAGAAGAATATCTAAATACAAGACTTGTCAGCTCATCCATTGATCACGTTAACCTAAGGGCACCTTTCTCAACAATCAAATCAGCCGTTATAACCCAGAAACTATCAGACCACTACTTTATCGCATGTCAGTTGGAATTTCCTGGTGTAGTGGGTGCTGTGCCCAATACTCAAATCCGCCAGATTGAAATAATTGACCGTCAGAGATTTGACAAGCATGTTTCCGATTATGACTGGGTAACATTCCAATGGTCTGTATGTCCTTCAGAAGTATATTCTTCCTTTGTTGAACTCTTCCAGAAGTTTGCTAACGCATCAAAAAAGTAATTTTTTTAAAGCAGAGGAACTACAATTTACGCTGGCTTAACAATGACATATTAGCTGCAATTAAACTTCAACAAATTGCTTGGAAACGCTGCCGGCGCTCACCACACAACCAAAGCCTGCATGTAGAATTCAGATCTATCCGTAACAGGGTTAGCGCACTCATTCGCTCTGGTAAACGGGCTTATTTTCAAAAGCAGTTTTCTGAATCTCGGAGCAACGCTGTTAAAACCTGGTCATTGATTAACGAATTGCACGGTGTCTCCCCGCGCGTGCAAGGAAGCATTTTAAAAGACACCTTTGGTATTAACTCACTTGCTGCTGCAAATCGTTTTAACGATTTCTTTGCTTCGTTTTCCGGAACAGCCAAAAAAAGCTCAATGTGTTCATCTATTCCTAACTCGAACCCTGCTTCCGCTTTTCTCCCTTACATGACAGCAAGCGACTTAGAATCTATAATACTGAGCCTCAAATTGAACAAATCCCCTGGAATAGATAAAATACGCCTTAGTGATCTTCGAAGAAATTTCACTTACATTAAGGATACACTCCTTTTACTTTTCAACATTATAATCGAGACTGGTATCATACGCCGTGCATTAAAAGCTGCTGTTGTCAAACCCCTATTTAAGGGAGGTCAGAGAAGTAAGGTAGAAAACTATCGCCCAATATCTATTTTGCCATGTCTGGCACAAATATTAGAAAAATATATTTATATGACGATGGCATCCTTTATTGATAAATATAAGATTATGTCTCCGAGTCAGTATGGCTTTATAGCTGGCCGAGGAACACAACCTCTCTTGGACACGTTTTCTGATGACTTAAATTATGGCTTTGAGAATAACTTGTTCACTTGCGCATGCTTCCTCGACGTGTCAAAAGCGTTTGATACTGTTAATCACTCTATACTACTTAGCAAAATTTCAGCCATAAGATTTCGTGGACCTTCCTTGTCACTTTTAGAAAATTTTCTGCTTGGGAGCACACAGTTGGTTTCGGTGAACAATGTGCAAAGTTCCACAGTTAGTTTAAAATCTGGCGTTCCGCAAGGGTCCGTTCTTTCTCCACTATTGTTTAACATCTATGTCAATGACTTATATAGCGTGGTTTTAAACTGCATTATTTACCAATATGCAGACGACACCCTTTTATTAACACGTCATACTTCCTACCCAGAAGCGCTTCAGATGCTCCAGCAATCCTCCAACAAAGTCATGGGCTGGTTTTCTCGGAACTTGATTTCTATAAATGTGTCGAAAACAAAACTCGTCTGCTTTCGCAATCCGTTGAAAGTAGTGTCCTTAAATATTCCTTTTTTGCTACACACATCAAACTGTACCTCGTGCCACTGTGCTGAAGTGCCGTATTCCGACTCTGTAAAATACCTTGGTATACACTTCGACTCCGACCTTTCGTGGAATTCTCATCTAACGAAAATATGTTCAAAGTTGAGAAGCGTTTCTTGTCTGCTTTATAACATCAAAACTTTCATGCCCCTCGGCTTACGCAAACGCGTCGCCTATTCGTTAGCCTATAGTCACCTGCGCTATGGTATAACTGTTTTCGGTTCATGCTCGAATTTATGGCAAACGAAAATAGACAAGGTCTTAAAGGTGATTTTGAAAAACGTGTGCTATAACCTCAATTATTCTCATTTAGACATTTTTGAGACATTGTCAATGCCGAACTTTAGATCTCTTTTTTTAGAAACAGTTGTGATCAATCACAACTGGTCTGACGACTTTAAATCTCCTCGTCTCGTCTCACGGCAACTACGGAACGTTTCCAAATATCTCGTCCCGAAATGCTACACACGGTATGGCAAAACTATGCGTTCATTCTACGTTCCAGACATTTTTAATCAATTACCATCCGATCTCTGGAACCTTACGTCAAAGAAAAAACTAAAAAGCGCCTCCGTCATATGGATATACTAAAAGAAAAAGGATAACTGTCTTTTTTTTTCACATTTCTATGGTGTATGTTTCTGTGACTCCGAGAGACTCATCACCTGGTAGTTCTCTCCCTCATATTTTGTGTCGATCTTTCAATGTGCTGTGAACAAACGTGCCGTGTGAGTGCGCCCTTTTTTGTCCATTCTGCTAGACTCCTCATCCCGAAGATCTGTGTCTCAAAGTTTTGTGTCGATTTTTTTCTTAATGTCCTGTGACCAGGGGCTCTAAACTCGTCAAACACAAAGTTGGGGCCGAAGTTGACGGAGCGCAATGATTGGACAATTGCTACAATGACTTAGCAGTTTTGTCGCCGACGTACAATCGGCGTGCTCCGCAAACTTTCGGCTCCAACTTCGTATTTGACGAGTTTAGAGCCCCAGACGGACAAACCAATTTTAACTCTTTTTTTCTCCTGTTTTCTTCAAATAATTTATATTGATTAGTACCGCTGAAGTGGACATTTACTGTGGACTTCTAGTGTCTTAACGTTTTTTTTCTGTTTTTTTTCTTTCTGACCGATTATGTTACCAATTCTACCGAAAAGGGTTCAGTCACACAAGCCCATGTCGGCTTTGACGAACCTGACAGCTTCATGAGTATAGTCCTCGAAAATAAATGTATTATTATTATTATTATTATTATTATTATTATTATTATTATTATTATTATGTTGTTGTTGTTGTTGTTGTTGTTGTTGTTGTAGTTGTTGTTGTTGTTGTTGTTGTTGTTGTTGTTGTTGTTGTTGTTGTTGTTGTTGTTGTTGTTGTTGTTGTTGTTGTTGTTGCTGTTGTTGTTGTCGTTGTGGTTGTTGTTGTTGTTGTCGTCGTTGTCGTTGTTGTTGTTGTTGTTGTTGTTGTTGTTGTTGTTGTTGTTGTTGTTGTTGTTGTTGTTGTTGTTGTCGTTGTTGTTGTTATTGCCGTCGTCGACGTCGTCGTTGACAAATCAGTTAGTTTCCTCTCTTCACTGCCTGGTCTTTTTAGGTAATAATAATAGAGTATTTCCACCGTACATTGATGGTGGCGATCAAGGAAAAAAGCGGTATGGAGCAGCTTGGCAAGTCCTTGGTCGCCTACAAAGCACAGTAGCAGCGGCTCGACGGAAAAAAAAACATTCACAAATCTTGATCACCACAATTTAACAAAGCGTGTTTCAGACATAATATATGTTATCATCGGCTATAACAGAGAAGTGACCTATTTAAAAGCAGAAGTTATGAGACCCCAAAAGTTTAGTTCAATATATTTTAACTAATTTTTCCACAAAAAAAAATTGTCGCAAAATATTTTTACTTATTTAGATTTATTTGTGGAGAAAATTAATCGAATTTCTCTAAGGGGAAATGTACTGAATTTCAATCCTTTATCTTCAAGTAGGTTAAGTATTTTTGGCATAGTATGTCTAAGAATTTGTGTGCCATAGTTCGTTCTTGCAGTGACCACCCTCTAACATGCCGCATGACGGCTAGAAAACGCGTGAATATTTTCAGAGAGCTGTCCAAGGTTCATTAAAAAGTTTGTACCCGGCCTAATTTGATCTAGTTTTAGACTAGTGACAAGTTTATAGCTAAATAGAGCATGTATATTGTTAACTCGAAACTTCTTAAATAAACTAGCTGTGTGCAAGTCAAATGGAATGTCTTTTATGACCTTTACCTATTTCTTCATATTTTTTGCAACAAGTGTATTTTTTCTAGATTCGTCGACGTTGTTGTCCCCCAGACTAAATTACGATAATTTATGTGGGAGTAAAATAACGAATTGTATATTAATAATTTCACCTTTGCTGGTAACATGTACCGGTGGCGGTTTATCCCACTTACTACTTGTGAAACTTAGAAATGAGGTAGTTGACATGACTATCCCATGACATATTCTCCGTAAAAATGATCCCTAAGAGCTTGAAAGAGTTTACAATCTCTATTTTGGATAAGTTCAAAACGATATCCCTTGTTATTGTGGCTGTCGTATATTTTGGACGAAAAAGCACTGCTTTTGTTTCTTCGACAATGATTTGTAGTGAATTAATACGACTCCAAATTTCTAATGCAGATAACGCCTGATTTGCCATGTCAAATAGCACATCGGCATTTTCAAGAGAAAAAAGTAAACTATCGTCGACATAGTTGATAAATGTTGCATCGCAGTTAATATTCACAATATCTTTAAAGTGATATTGTGGTATTGATCAAAAGGACAGGATAATATACTTTCCTGTGGAACAAAAGTTAGAATACGCTTCGAACTTGACAAATATCCATCAATATAAATTAATTGCATTCGATGCTTTAGGTAACACTTCACTAACTGCAAAGCATGCCCTCGAATCCCATAGGTATTCAATTTCGCTAGTAAAATTTCATGATTGAGGCAAACAAAACCCTTTGTGAAGTCTATGAATACTCCAAGAACAATATTTTTTCTTCGAGATTTTGCAAGATGAATTCTTTCTGGACGAGTAGGGCAGCCTCGATTGATTTACGCTTTATAAAACCAAACTACGAGGCAGTTATAAAGTTATGCTTAGTTAATAATTAGACGTACATGAAGTACCTTTTCAAATGCTTTAGAAAATACTGGTAATATAGAAATAGGTCTGCAATTACCCATATCGACAGTCGCCTTTTGGTGTAGTGCTGACACTTTGGCTATCTGCATTCATTTAGGAAGATTAAATATATGCGTTAGTACTGAAATGAGTGATGGGGCGCAGGCGAGCCGGTTTACGTTCATGATTTAAGACAACCCTGAGTCTGGGGAAAACAAGAAGGGCAAACACGACGAAATAATAATTTCGTTGTGTTTGTCCTTCTTGTTTCCCTCAGTCTCAGGGGTGGTTGTCTTAAATTATGAGCGTTAGTACTGACGCTAATATGTGTACAACGTACTTAACAGGCCTTATTTGTAAACCATCCACGTCACAGTCTGCACTATTCTTAAGTTGTGAAATCACATTAATGACCTCAGGTTCTAGAACGGGATCTAAAAAATCCGGCTGCTGTTTCTATCGTCATCAAAACACAAGACTTTACAGTACCAATCCCGCTTCCAATGTTCACAAAATTCTCGCTAAAAGCGTTTGCCAAAAAACATCTGGTTAGTTGAACATCACTACGCACTATTTTGAACGGTTTCGATTTAAAAGAGAGTTCAGCTCTATCCACGTGACGTCCGTACACCGCCCTGCTGCCTTGAACACCTTAAAGTAGTAGCGTTCATCAGCACGCCATAATTATTTTGTTAAACACGCTGCGGTACATTTTAAATATTTTGAAGTCTTTTTTGTCTCTCAATTGAGCAAAACGGCTGTACAAAACATTTTGGTGTAAATCTTGGGCAATAAATTTCGCGTTATCAAAGGTTATTTTACGCGTTTAGTTGTTTTAATTGATTTGAAAGGGAAGTACCTTTATATAGATTTATAAATAAACCAATTAAAGCATTGTAATTCCCATCGGTCGTATGATTATTTAATACACTGTTCTAGTTTGTATTTGTAACAGCAATTCTAAAACTATCAAGTTCATCTATAGTTATTTCCTGAAGCAGGGTTCGTTGTTTTGTTGTTGTTGTTTTTTTTGTTGTTGTTTATTTTTTCTTAACTTTCTTTTGAACACTTTCAACCGAAATAAATATCGGGAGGTGGTCGCTCATGTCACAACTAAAAACAACAGCATTTAAGCAGTTGTGAGATAGAAGTTTGTAATAAACAGGTCTATTAATGTTTCAGAGCGGCAAGTAATGCCTGTGGGTCTCGTAATAAGGTTTGCGCAGCTATTTGTGTGAATTATCAAGCCTAATGTTCTTGTAAATAGTGGTTTCCGTACACATATCAATATTGAAGTCTCCACCGCAAAACAACATTACACTTTTGCTGGCTAAAGAATACCCAAAAATATTCTAGAAGTTGAAAAAAGGCTTCAGGGCAGTTGTATTACGCACGATTACGAAAAAAGCGCAGACCTCATCATAAATGGCTTCAGGGTTTGAGGGTAGATATACTACAACAAAAACATTCTGCTTGCTACGCAAAGGAAATATTTCGTAATCGTGCGTAATACAACTGAAATCGCTTAAAAACTTACAAAGAATCTTTCGTTAGAATGGCCATACCGCCACCACGTTTCTCAGTACGATTAATATAAACTCAGCGCTACAGTGGCAATTTTAGTGCTTAACTGTCACCCGTATACCATGTTTCTGTAAGCATTATTTTTTCAAAAAAGAAAAAAACAAATTGACCAAAAAGCAACTTCAGATCGACAGCTTTGTTTTTCGCTCACTGAAAATTCAAATGGAAACACGCCGCGCATGAAATATAATCTTCACCAAGATGACGTTTCAAAATTTGCGGGAGTACCAGATATTTACTGGCCATGAAAAATGAAATGACATAAAAAAATTACGACCATGACCATGATCATTCTAAGAAAAACCACGCAAGTCATTCTCAGTAGAGATAGGAAAGGCGCTCGTTCTCTCCTCTTTCCGAACAAACGTTTCTCGATTCCTGTGCCAGGCAAACTTGAATCTGTTATTTTTTGCCCACTGTTTCGTGGCCCAGAGCAAGTTCTTGTCGTGCTTTGTCAGGTTAGATGGTATAGTTAACAACGTCAAGTTTTCTGCAAGTTTTCCACTCGTTTGCTGTTGCTGCCAGTCAAACTGTTAATTTGAAAAAGCGCAGACCTCATCATAAATGGCTGAGCAATAATATTCTTCAGAAAAATAAAAAGAAAGAGGTTCTGTGGCGTCGCTGTCAGCGATCTCCTAGCAACAAAGATTTACAAACTAAATTCAGGCAGCTAAGGCAGTAAACGCGGTCATTCGTTCTGCAAAGCGACCGCTTTTTTTTTCTAATCAATATTCAAAGAATACAGGTTCAGTTCAGCCAAAACATGGTTGCTGATTATTCAATTTCAAGGCACTGGTTTTGAGAAGTTGATTGACCAAACTCCGAACAAAATTTTGGGTCACTTCAACATTAGCACGCGATTTTAACAACTTTTTTGCTAATTACTTTGGCGTGCCAAGAACCACTGTTATAAAAACATGCACACTAAATAATGCCCTTCTTGACGTCTTCTTCTTCTTCAATATGTGCTAAAAATAATAAATGGAGATGTTAGTCATTTTAAGGCGTGACCGGCTACTCCATTACCATTGAAGAGAATAGTTCCGACATAGAAATTAAACACTTCAAACATGTAGATGCAGCTATACACCTCAATATTCACGTCATATCTGCCTTTTTTTTTAAGTAGCCTTCACTGAATCCAGTGGCAATAAATTATGGTGGGGGGAGTGGAGCGATTTTAATAGTTGTGAATTAGCAGGAAAGAATGTCCTATAAACAATTCGAAAACGCTTACTTCGTGATATACGTATTCTATACAGGCAAATATAAACAACGTCGAAGGTTCAGTGTTTTTTTTTTTTTTTTTTTTTTTTTTTAGTTGGCCATAACTTTTAAACGTAAACCGAATAAAATTATTTCTGTAAAACGTGCATCGTAAAACGTGCATCAGTGGCTACAGGGCAACCGCAAAACCTCGCTGCTGTCTCTGATTGGTTCGTGGTGGCCTCCGCCATCATCCGAAGACGGTGACCGCTTAGCCGGCGACAAGCGGCCCGCAGGCTCCGAGCGGCGAAGCAGCGAGCAACATTTGCGCGGGCGAGCCCAGAGCGGTGCGTTGCCCAGGAACAGGGACGCGGGTGAGATGCTGAGGAGAAAAGCGGCAGCGACCCGTTCCGGGGACCGGTTCCTCCACGGGGGACGCTCCCCAAAAAGGAAAAAATAAACAGAATCACTTTGCATTTTACCAGAGTCGGACGTCCTCTCTTTTTGTCGTCAAAGAACACGAACAGCAACCCACAAATTGGTGACCCTGCATTAGCGACTCTACGTGGTTCCGCACATCTCATCACGTTCTTATTGTACAACAGGGGCTGCTGGAAATTCCAATCAACGCACTTTCTGGCGGCAATCCGACTGAACCTGCAGCCATTTCGGACGAAGAATGCGAAGGTGTGGTTCGCACAAATGGAGGCGGAATTCCAATTCCACTGCGTCCATCACAAACCACGAGCTATCTTCACGTCGTCTCGTCACTGCCAGGCGAGGTCGCCGACGAGCTCGAGGATATCCTCGCGGCCGCACCCACACCCGACGCCTGCGACCATCTCAAGGCGGTCATTCTCGCTCGGAAGACCGCGTCGGAGCGCAGACGCCTTCAGCATCTCCACGACATAGAGGAACTCAGTGATCAGACACCCTCGCAGCTGCTGCGTCGCATGCGACAACTCCTGGGCGACTCAACTTCAGACACACACACATCGCTGCTCCGGGAGTTGTTTTTGCAGCGCTTGCAAACAACGTGGTCGGCGACCTTGCAGCAGCTGAGGACATGCCTCTGGAGCGCCTGGCTGACTTAGCGGACAGGGTCGCCGAGCACTCTACACCCCGCGTGGTCGCCGTATCCACCTGAACATCACAAGTTGCGACGACGCAAGCTGCTGCGCCTTCCGATGACATACCGGCTCGACTCAGCCGCTTAGAGAAGCCGATTCACGACTTGCGCCTGCCTGCTGCTCGACGGTCCACCTCTCGTGGGAGACAAGGCTTCCGCCGCGGTTCCTCAGCTCCTGTGGCTCCGGACCGCAACTCCTGCTGGTATCACCACACTTTTTTACCAGCAGCCTGCAAGTGCACCCCGCCGTGTTCGTGGCAGGGAAGCCTGACCACTGGGCACTAGCAGCGGCGGGTGATCCCGGCTCACGACAAAGCCGTTTGTTTTACGTTGTGGATCGCGTCGCTGGCCACTGGTTTCTTGTGCACACCGGAGCCGAGGTCAGCGCTCTCAGCATCGCCAGCTGACAAGCGTCGCCTCGTTCAAACATCCCCACTCAGAGCCGTCAACAGTTCGCCGATCGCCACCTATAGTCAACGCTCCCTGACCATCAACCTTGACCTAAGGTGGACATTTCGCTGGGTGTTTATCGTTGCAGACATTTGCACGGCTAATTTGGGAGCCAACTGAGCCATTTCAATCTCAGCGTGGACATGCACTCTCGTCGCCTGGTTGACGCAAAGACTCGCTTCTCAGTCAACGACATCGCGTAATCCTACGTTGTCTCGGAGGTACGTCCTGCGCCGCCAAGTTCAACGTTCGAGGAACTGCTAACCAAGTTTCCCGAGCTGAGGAGAACTACCAACTCGGACGACCCGGTTGGGCACTGCGTCACTAATGACATCGTGACCACAGGGCCTTCCACATTCGCGCGGCCTGGTCGTTTCACGAGCGAGCGACTCACCGTTGCCCGCCGCGAATTCGACCACATGCTGCAATTGGGAATCATCCGCCCTTCTGCGAGTAACTGGTCGTCACCCCTCCACCTCGTCCCCAAAGCCACCACTGGTCACTGGCGGCCATACGGTGATTACCGCGCTCTCAACGCCCTAACCGTACCGTAGCGGTATCCCATACCGCACATCCAGGACTTTACCGCAAACCTGGCAGGCAAGTCCATCTTCATCAGGATCGACTTGGTTAAGGCTTGCCATCAGATCCCAGTAGAGCCCTTCGACATTTCCAAGACTTCAAATACAACGCCATTCGGTCTCTACGAGTACGTGCGCATGCCATTTGGGTAGCGAAACGCCGCCCAGACGTTCCAGCGTTTCACCAGCGAAGTGACCTGAGGTTTGGACTTCGTGTTCGCCTGCATTAACGATCTGCTCATTGCGAGCTCATCCGCCCAGGAACACGAACAACACCTCCAACTCCTCTTCGAGTGCCTTCGGTCCTTCGGCCTCGTCGTGAACCCAGGCAAGTGCGTATTCGGCGTCTTGGTTATCGACTTCCCGAGCCATCGTGTGACATGAGACGGCATCACCCCATTTGAAGGCAAGGTTCAAGTGGTGCGTGACTTTCCGCAGCCTACGTCATTTCGGAAGCTCCGCGAATTCCTTGGCCTTCTGATTTTCCAAAGACGTCTCACACCTGATTGTGCCCACATTCTTCGGCCTCTGACCAATGTCCTACGCACCAAAAAAGGATCAAACTCACCGGTCGGATGGTCGGACGCAGCGGCGTCTGCTTTCTCGCTCACCAAAAAGGCCATGGTCGACGCTACCGTTCTCGTTCACCCCCGCGCCGACGCCCCACTTCGTGTGGTGACGGATGCCTCGAGTGTCGCGGTCGGCGCCGTCCTACAGCAATACATCGAAGGATGCTGGCACCCTCTCGGATTCTTCTCGCAAAAGATGAAGCCACCGGAGACCAGGTACAGCACATTTGGACGAGAGTTGTTGCCCATTTTTCTCAATTTGAAGCACTTCCGGCACATCCTGGAAGGCAGCACGTTTCACATACGTACCGACCACAAGCCTCTCACCTTTGCCTTCGAAGGCAACCACACCAACTATTCCGCCCGCGAGATCCGACAGTTGGGATTCATCTCAGAATTTACATTCGACATCCGGTGCCACTTCTGATGCCCTTTCGCGAGTGGCGGCTCTTTCACCCCAGTCTGCAACATTGGACTTTCACGCGATGACAGAGGCACAGCGCAAGGACCCCGGGCAGTTGGCGGAGCGTTA